GCGTCTCCGTGCCCGTGCCCTCTCGCTTGATGACCTGGAAGGCAGGGAAGGGGAGACGGTGAGTCCCTGGGGATGGACATAGAGAGGAACCGCACCTGTCCGCACGCCTCTGGCCAGAATGTAAGCGGTCTCTTCTGCCTCCTTGTAAGTAACTCAACAAACCCATCATCAAATGACTCTGCTGTGAGGTTTGGCTAGCATTAAACTGACCTCCCTTTCTTGGACAATGACATGACTTGGTTTGAAACACTGGAGACAAAACACCTGAGATCATTTTTGCTGTTACAATCTTACAGAAGTCACTTTAACTCTCTAAACTGACCATATTTGTAAAGTAGTGATGATAAACCCTATCGGAGTGGCTACAGAACTAAACCAGTAGAACACTGGAGCAAAGGGGAAAGTATTCACGCTACATTTCCTCATTCTTCCTAACGCCAGTCATCCAATCAGGTCTGGTTTAGAAAGAAAAGGGGGAAACCAGAAAGTTCAGGAGAGGTAAGAGCAATCAACAGCTTACAGTGAGCCACGGCCCTTGAGCAGGCCCTAGGCTCTGACTTGGGACTTGAGTGTTCCTGACTGGTGGGCGACTGCAGTCCTTGAAGTCAGGGCTAGAATACTGCCCAGAGTTTAGAAGAACCTGCTTCTCTTCTTTTGCGTTTATAAAAAGGTGGGCTACCTGGTTAAGTGTGCAAGTTACCCTCTAAGGGAAGCTCCCACTATGCAATGGACATGGACTCGAATAAACAGAAAAGTGAAACGGAAGGCGTGGAGAATGAAAAGGGGAAATGGGTCTCCCTGGAAGCCCGCGTGCACACTCGGAGAGCAGCCAGGTGCGTTTCTGAAACGGCTAAGAAGCTCCCCGAGGTCTCCAACCCGCCCTGGCCACACGCACACGTGGGCTGAGCTGCGGAAAGCCAGGAGGAGCAGAAACGTTGGGTGAGGATACGAACGAAGCCGGCCTAGGATTTCGCCATCCTGGACAGCGCAGAACCCGCTCCGAACCGCGGCCGGTTGTCCTGACCCGGGTCAAGACGCCCTGCTGCCTGGCTCCCAGACCCCTCCCCTGGCTCCTCCGGCCTTAACACGGTTTAGGGCGCCCAACCAAAGCACCTCCTCCGAGACCCGCACCCCGCGCTCAGGAAGGCCCCGCCATCCTGGACAGCGCAGAACCCGCTCCGAACCGTGCCGCAGCCAGAGCAGGCGCTGCGCTCCGGGACCCTTCCCGGGCCTGGGGAGCCTCAGCCCAGATGTTCCCCTTCCGAGCGTGTGGCCGCCCTCCCGCCCTGAACCGGCGGCCTGGCCAGGAAAGCGATGCGCCCGGCCACGGCTGCACGGCCTGCTCAACTGCCGGCCGGGAGGCTGCAAAGGCGGCCGTCCAAGCCCCGGCCAGAGGCTGGGGGGCTCCCGGTGCCCGCCCCCCTTAGCCGCCGCCGCCCCGGGGCGCCCCCTGCCCCTTACCTTAAGCACCCCCTCATCCTGCTTGGGGCTGATGTCCACCCCTTCGAGGGGCAGCGGCGCCGACTGCGCTCCGCTCTCGGCCGCCTTCGTCTCCTCGGCGGTCATCACGCCGTTTCTCGGGCAGCGGGCGCCGGGGTGTGCGCGGCGGTGCGGGCGGCGGGTCGGGGCTCGCGCACCTCTCTGCTCCGGCGCGGGCGCGGGCGCGGGCGGGAGGAGGAGGTGGGGTCGTGGGCGGCCGGGGGAGCGATTGGTCCCACCGCCTCGGAGGGAGGGGCTGGGAGGAGCCGGGCGGCCGCGAGGGACGTGGGGGGAGAACTTTCTAGAGGCGCGGCGGCCGAGCGGGTTCAGGCTCTATCGCTCAGGGCGCTCCTGCGGAAGGTGGTTTCTGGTTTGTTCCTCCCGCCGGCCGCCTGGCCCCGCCCCGGCCCCGAGACCCTGGGACTCGAGAGCCAGCCCCCTCCCCTGCCGCTCACTCTCCCGGCCTCCCCTTCCCGTCCCCCCGGTCTAGCTGGATTCTTCCAGATCCTTCTCGATACCCCCGCAGTATCCGACGCCGCGCTGCCGAACGTGGGCGCCGCGCGTGCGTCTCCACGACCCGAGCCGCGGGCTGCCGGCCTCCCCGCCTGCCTGGGCGAGCGTCCGGAACGCAGAGCGAGGGGAGCGTTACCTGGGCGCGCAGGGCCGGGGAGGCGTCTGGGTTTACCTGGAGAGAGGCCAGCGTGCGCCCAGGGCCCGGCGAAACGCTGCAAGCTGCCCGTTTGCAAGAAATGGCCCGCGTATTAAAGGGGCCTTCCCCGACAATAGTACAGCTGAACACATAGAATGGGTTCAACTCGCGAGGAGAGCCACTGCATCTTACTGAAGGCCCATGAGAAGGAATATTTTCTTAATACTGGGTTCCCGGGTGCTCATGGACTTCCCGTGGCGACTAGGAAGCGCCATAGTTACCGAAACAATAGCCTTTTGACAAAAAGATCTGTGTTTGGAGGGTCCTGCTCTTCCTTAGCACTTAAGCCCAGTTTAGTGTCTGGTGCGTGTTATCAAATAATTATTGGCTGCAGGAATTTGTATGCCAGTAGAAATAAGGTTTTTGTTTGTTTTGGAGCCCTTGCTCAGTGCTTGCCACTGTACTATGAAGACTGTCCTATATAGGTAGAAAACTAGAAGGGCTGTTTTCGGATGAAATTTCAGTATTATAACCAGGGAATTCATTGTAGCCTTTTCTGTTGGAATTGGCTGGGAAGGAATGCAGGAGAAATAAAATCATTTCTTCCAGCAATTTACAGCAAATGTATTTAGCCTCGACTGAGACGTTGTTCATTCGGTGACTGGCCTTCAGCGGACTTGGGGGTGTTGACTTGATAGAGGTTCAATCTGCTGCTTTTTTACCACTGTTCTCAGGAGGATTAGAAGGAGCGGTGGCCCTCCAAAGTCGCAGGAGCCGGGCGGAGGGTAGGGTGCTGGCTTGCCGCCTTGGCAGTTATCTTCTTGTTGGCTCCTGCACCTGTGTGCGGTCACTCTCGTGTGTGTACTGGTTTCTTTTGAAGCTGGGGCCACTGGGTATTATCTGGCTGAACAAATTAGTATAGAAAAGTTCCGGTCCAGTAATACTTTTCTAAAAGCATCTATTTCTTTACTGGCAGTAAACAGTTGTAGGTATCTTCTAGTCTGTCAGCACGTTTTACTTGAGCACGGAAGATATGACCGCCTTTGCATACGTACTTACAGTAGAAGGAGCACGTGCTCTTTCTAGAGAGTAAGCAAGGAGCTGGGTCCCCAACATACTAACCGACTTGGGGCAGGTTAACAGGGCTAGGAACACCTGTCACGGAGGGTAGTTGTGATGGTTACAAAGAAGGAATGTGTGCCGGGTATCTAGCCCAGTGCCCACCTTCACACGGTTGGTTAGTAAGTCATGCTCATGATTCTGATGGGATGAGTTCTCTAGTGAGACGGGGATAGATACAGAGGTCTGTAAGAGAGGGGAAAACCTCGTGGACGGGGAAGGGTCAGAGGGAAAGGTTTCCAGGGAGGAAGCGCCCTGCTCTTTCAGTCAATGAGTGGTTGGGGGCCGGGAGGTGGAAGGGGTGAGGAGAGACAGTTCTAGGGTTCTAGGATCCCCCCCCATATTTTTTTTCTGTTTCTAGAATTATTTTCCATTTTATTTACATTGTAGTCTTCGGATTGTAAAACTTACACACATACTCAATGTAGAAAGAGCACAGATCAGTTTGTTTCTTTTTCAATCTGTTTTCCTTTCTTTTCATGCTAGGGATGGAACCCATACCCTTGTCAGTGAAAGGGCAGAGTCCTAACTACTTGATCACCAAGAAATTCCCAAGATTTTCTTTCCCTCTCCCTCATCTGTTTCCCAGCCACCCCCCACCTTTTTTTTTTTTTAAACCCTCAGCCCTTTTAAGTCAGCATTTCCCTTAAAGGTGTTTAACAACATGATTATTTTCAGTAGTACCAGTCGGTCATTCAAAATCCTTCTGAAACTCCCCGCTTTTGCTGGAGGAAGAGAGCACACTCCCCACCTTACTCTTTAGGTGCTCTGGTTAGTTTTGTTATTATTGTTGTTGTTTGGCTCATTGTTGTCAGAATGAGCCCTCTGGGAACTCACATGATGCACCTCCCAAATGCCAGGCCCATCCCTCAGACATAAAGATCCCTTGTTTTTAAATGTTTAGTTTTTATTTAGTTATTATTATTTTGGCCATGTTGCTTGGAGTGTGGGATCTTAGTTCCTCCTGACCAGGGATTGAACCTGTGACAGTGGAAGCAAGGAGTCCTAACCACTGGACCAGCAGGAAATTCCCTAAATCCTTTGTTTTTAAAGGTTCTTTAAAAAGGAACTTTTTTGACTGCTAATGCTCTTAAACATTAAAAAAAAAATAGTACTTGAATCGTTCAAGAAAATGTGAGATGAGCATATGTGTATACATATACATGTTATGTAACATACCAACATAGTGGACCTTGGGAATATACCACAGTCCCAACCTAAGAATTAGAACATCACCGATATGACTGGTGTAAAAAAAAACTGTAGTACCAAAAATGTTAAGGATGTTCATAATTTCTTGCTACTTCTGGTGTCTGTTGACTGAGAAAACACAAATTATACTACTAACCAAAACAGCTACTGAAATTTCATAAAATATTTACTTATTTAAGAGATTATAGCTCCATTTTCATGCATTTGAATAATAGCAGACTGCTATGCGGGCTTCCCCAGTGGCTTATGGGTGAGAATCCACCTGCGATGTAGGAGATGTGAGAGAGATGGCTTGGATCTCTGGGTTGGGAAGATCCGCTGAAGGAGGAAATGGCAACCCACTCCAGTATTCTTCCTGGGAGAACCCCGTGGACAGAGGAGCCTGGCGGGCTACAGTTCGTGGGGTCACAAAGAGTCAGACACAACTGAGCACTGCATACACTTGTGGGGTCTGCACACAGTGGACGCTTGAAGCTTCATCACTGAACACACCCCGGGTCACCAGGCAAGTTTTCCTCATCTCTGGGATAGATGGGAATCATAATACTGTCTATGTCATAGGGGTTTTCTTTGAGCATTAAATAATAAATTATCACGTGTGACATACTTAATGCAGTGCATGGCACATAGCAAACAGATGAGTGGTAATGAGTGTGTGTGTGCCATGTTTCACTTCTTCAGGCTGTTGAATGCTGGCATATAGATCTGAAACCCCGAAGTCTCCGGTCTTCCAATTGAGAGCCATTGACTGGTCTAAACGGGTTTGATCCATGGTTTCCAGAATAGTGCTTCTTCCTGATGCTATTCTAAATAACATCTGTACTTTTTTCTCTTTTGCAATCAGTGATGAACATGACTATCTAATACACTAGCTTTGATACTTTGTCATTCCAACAAGTCTGGGCACCCCGTGAAATAAAGACTTGATCTTAATATTTCCTTGGGCTTCTGATCTCCTCTGGGGAAAGCAGATGGGATATTTGGTGCCTGTCCTACTGAAAGAAAGGAGTATTTTCCTTCTTTTAAAAGATAAAATCTAATTTCGTGCTTAAGATAAATACATTTTGTTTTGTTTTGCTCGTTGGGGCAATAAAAAGTAGCCTGTCTTCATCCTTCCTCCTTTGTGGATGAACTGAAATTTGGCTTTGGCCTCATTCATGGGAGTGTCCATTAACCAAATGCCTCATTTCCACCCTCCCCAAACCTGTGATCAAGGATCACGTGTGGGTCCAGGGCATCCGATCTAATGAGCACAACTGGGACTAGGATTCCCTTTTGGAAGAAGCCCAGCCCTGCACTGGCCTCGGTGGAGAGTGAATGTATTTACCGTCATAAAGGTGCTCTGCAGTGAACACAGGAGCAAGCCAGCAGCTCTTACTACTGAGAAATTAAGAAATTATTGTTCCTTTGTTATCACATCAAACTTCTGTAACTGGTCTGCTAATATTTTTAAACGTTTAAATTGTAATAATAATAACAACAACAAAAAAAACTTGTATGAAAGCTCAGATTTACTCTTGTATCCCAAAAGTCCATCTGTATCGGTCACAGTCAGCTCTAGTCAAATATTGACTTTACTATTTATCCTTTCAGCATGGAGCCAAAACGTGTACTCAGAAGCACCTCGGAGTTCATCTCTTCCCACAGGCCCTGCAGGTGTGTTGTTCAGCAGCTTTCCTCCCCAAGCCAGCCTCCTCCAGGGGCACTATTCTTGGGCATGTCCTTGGGTTGACGCCCTCAGCTTTTTTCCTCCTGGGTTTCTGGGCGCCCCTAGCTGGGGGTGGGGTGGGGTGGGAGTTCTCAGGGATCCCAAGTAGAGGGCGGAGGGGGAAGGGCTGTCTTTCTGCATGGGGCTCTGGGTTCCTCAGGGGCTTCACTGATCAGTGGCGAAGTCCCAACTATTCTGTTTCAGTTTGCACCCACTTAAGGCTTGCCGTCTGTATTACCTATCCGTGGCCAGTTGGTGCAAAGCTATTTATAGAGTGAGTCCAGAGGCCTCCAGGCACAGGGTGAGCGGCTGGGCCCATAGGCTTGGAGCCACAGGCGACCTTAGGGCCCTGGAGCTGAGAGCTGGCGACAGCGCACTGGGCACTGAACTCAGGGCATCGTTGCACTTTCCCTCGGTGACAGCCCTTCCAGTTGTCCCCCGATTTGTTCCGAGGGCAGGTGCTGAACTGAGTGTGCAGGCCGCCTGGGATCACTGGGCTCAGACCCAGACCGTTCGGGTAGCCGCCCTGGATTTCCCATTGCAGGGACCCAGGGACAGAGGGAGGGAGCTTGGTCTCATCAGCTTCAGCGGAGCCTTCGCCGGCGCGTCTCAGAGGGGTCGGGATGGGTCTCCTCCTTGGGTGCGCTCCGGCCTCCGTGCCTTCTGGTGGCCGTGGCTGCCTAGCACGTGACAGGGCTTAGTACGACTGAGGAAGGGGACAATTTCCGAAGGGCAGTGGCCCCCCCAAGGCCCCGCCCCAGCGAGGTGGCTAGCGAGACCCGCTCCCGCTAGGCGGGTGCTCGGAGGACTCCAGTGACCCGGTCACCCGTCCCGAAGTAGGACCCCTTCCCGACCCACGGGGAGAGTGCGGCGCCAGGTTCTCAGCACCCAGGCCTGCTTTTCCACAGTAGTCTTTGTACTTCTGTTTTTGATTGTACCTGTGTCATTGTGATAATGTCAGGGTCAGCTCTTTTCTACACTGCTCTGGGCTTTCACCGCTCCTCTTCTATCCCTCCCCGCTTCTGCCCTCCTCCGCCCCGTGTGGGCATGTGACCTGATGCTTTAACCGCGATTTTGGTAAGACCCAGGTTTATGCAACATAGCGAACTCATTTCTATGACGAGAGCGATTTACTGAGCACCTGTGAGGGCGCTTATCAGCAATAGGGCCTGCGGGCGCTTTGTCTGTGATGCAGGCACGTTGTCTGTGATGCTGTCAAGGCCCTCGAGGCACAGATATCAGGAGGGAGCGCAAAGGAAGGACTGACCCTTGTGGCTCTGCTTCCAGAGCGCAGGGCGGCCCGGCCTGTGCAGGGTCACAGTGCTCTGGGAAGCCGTCACAAACACCCAGGGCTTGAGAAAGAGCTTGGAAAAATGGGCAGTAATATATTTGTTAACATTTTAAAGTTATAGAACATCATGAATGAAATAATGCCAGTTACAATAACATGTATAGACCTAGAGATTATCATACTAAGTGAAGTAAATCAGACAGAGAAAGATGGATATGGTATCATATCACTTATATGTAGAATATAAGAAAATGATACAGATGAATTTATCTACAAAATAAAAATAAACCCACAGACGTAGAAAACAAACTTAATGGTTACTAAAGGGGAAGGAGGGGAGAATAAGAGTTTGAGATTAACATGATACACTACTGTATATAAAATAGATAACCAAAAAGAACCTACTGTATAGCACAGGAACTATAATCAATATCTCATTATAAAGGAAAACTATCTGAAAAAGAATATATATATGTGTGTATATATATATATGCACATGTCTAATTGAATCACTTTGTTGTACACCTGAAGCTAACACAACATGGTAAATCAATTATACTTTAGTAAAAAAAAATTGAAAGATATAACATTAATAAATTAATATATTAGGGTCACAGTGCTCTGGGAAGCCGTCACAAACACCCAGGGCTTGAGAAAGAGCTTGGAAAAATGGGCAGTAATATATTTGTTAACATTTTAAAGTTATAGAACATCATGAATGAAATAATGCCAGTTACAATAACATGTATAGACCTAGAGATTATCATACTAAGTGAAGTAAATCAGACAGAGAAAGACGGATATGGTATCATATCACTTATATGTAGAATATAAGAAAATGATACAGATGAATTTATCTACAAAATAAAAATAAACCCACAGACGTAGAAAACAAACTTAATGGTTACTAAAGGGGAAGGAGGGGAGAATAAGAGTTTGAGATTAACATGATACACTACTGTATATAAAATAGATAACCAAAAAGAACCTACTGTATAGCACAGGAACTATAATCAGTATCTCATTATAAAGGAAAACTATCTGAAAAAGAATATATATATGTGTGTATATATATATATGTACATGTCTAATTGAATCACTTTGTTGTACACCTGAAGCTAACACAACATGGTAAATCAATTATACTTTAGTAAAAAAAAATTGAAAGATATAACATTAATAAATTAATATATAGCTGGATAAAATTTTACATATGTGTGTACCCACTTGACAACCAGATCAAGGTACCCCAACATCTGGGCACCCCAACAGACATTTGCATAGCCTCTCCCAACAGTAACTGTCTCTAAAAGTAACTGCTATTCTGACTTCTCCTGATAGATTAGTTTTGTCTGTTTTTGAACATCACTCAGAAGGAATCAAACAGTATGTACTTTTTTGACCAGTTCCTTTCATTGCACATGACGTCTGTGAAATTCATCCACGGTTGTGCGTGTAGAAGTAGTCAGTTACCTTTGCCTGCTATGTGATACTCGACTGTATTGAATCTACCACAGTTTCCTTATTGATGATACTGGGGTTGTTTCCAGGTTTGGGGTATTATGAGTAAAGCTTCTATGCACATTCTTGTACATGACTTTTGGTGGACATAAATGCTCATTTCAGTTTGGTATATAACCAAGAGATGGAACTGCTGGGTCATGGGGTTTCTCTTATATTTAGCTTGAGCAGATACTGCCAATTTCCCAGAATCAGGGTATCAAGTTACACTTCCACCAAGAGGGTATGAGAGTTCTAGTTGCTGGACACTCTCACCAAAACATGGTATTGTCACTACTTTCTTTTTTGGCTGCGCTGTGGCATGTGGGATCTTGGTTCCCCTGGGGTCAAACCCAGGCCCCCTGAAGTGGAAGCGCAGAGTCCTAACCACTGAACCACTGGGGAGGCCCTGTCAGTGCTTTTGATTTTAGTCCATCTGGGGGATGCAGTGTGGTGTAATCTGTATTCCTTGATGGTTAATGAAGTGGAAGGCATTTTCATATACTTATTGGCTGTCTGGATGTAGCCTCATTTGTGAAGTACCTTTCAGATTTTTGGGCATATTTAAAAAATTATGTTGTCTGTTTTTTTGTTATCAATTTGTGGGATTTATTTATATATTATAGGCAAGATACATTGCAATAATCTTCTGGTCTGTGGCATGCCTTTTCACTCACATAATGGTATTTATTTTATGTCTTTTTAAATTGAAGTATAGTTGATTTACAATGTTAAATACTGCTATAGAACAGAGTGACTCAGTTATATACATATATATGTTCTTTTTCATATTCTTTTTGTTCACATAATGGTATTTTGATGAGCATTTTAATTTTAATGGAATTCAATTTATTAACGTATTTTTTTAACAGTTAGTGATTTTCCTTAGTAGATTTTATTTTTTTGGAGCAGTCAGGTTCAAAGCAAAACTGAGCAGAAAGCAAGAAGGTTTCTCATACACTCCTGGCCCTCATACATACACAGACCTCCTCCCCATTATCAACATCCTCTCATCAGAGTGGTATAATCAGAGGGGTATCATGCTTTGAATTTCAAATTCCTATAGTTCATTGTCAGTATAAAGAAAAGCAACTGACTTTTGTCTATAAACCTGTATCTTGCAACCTTGCTATAATCCCTAATTAGTTCCACTAATTTTTCAAAATTTTTAAAATTTTCTACATAGATGACCATGTCATCTGTGAATACAGAGTTCCATTTCTTCCTTATCAATCCTGGGCTAGTGATTTTTCATGTGTGTCTTGTTTAAAAAAAATCTTTGTTTATTCCTTGGTCATGAAGATTTGTCTCTATTTCGTTTTTGCTGTTTTAGAATGGAAGCTTTTTTTGCTTTTTTTGCTTTTTCACATTTAGGTCTATGATCCATATCTGATTAAATTTTACAAATGGAGTGAGGTAGAAATGAGGTTTATTTTTTCCCTATGAATGTACAATTAACCCCACACCATTTATTGAAAGACTGTCGCTTCCCCTCTGAACTGTGGTGGTTCTTTGGTCATCTGTTGCTGGTGACCATATATTTATGTCTGTTGTGGACTCTTATCCCATCAGTCTGTTAATAATTCTTGTGCCAATGCCTTAGCATCTTGGTTGCTATAGCTTTAAAATGAGTTTTGACATCCAGTTTTACCCTTCTGTGTCAAGATTGCTTTTACTCTTCTAGGTTCTTTGATTTTACATACACATTTTAGAACCACCTTGTCAATGTCTTTCAAAAAATCTAAGATTCTGATTAGGACTCCATTGAATTTACACATCAAATTAGGGAGATTTGACATCTCAAATTATGGAGCCTTTCAGTCCATGAAAGAAAGTGAAAATGTGAGTCGCTCAGTCGTGTCTGAATCTTTGTGACTCCATGGACTGTGGCCCACCAGGTTCCTCTGTCCATGGGGTTCTCCAGGCAAGGATACTGGAGTGGGTAGCCATTCTCTTCTCCAGGGGATCTTGCCAACCCAGGGATCAAACCCAAGTCTTTTGCATTGCGGGCGGATTCTTTACCAGCTGAGCCACCAGGGACACTCCTTTCTGCCTATAAACATGATCTATTCTTCCATTTTATTGGGATTCTTTCATTTTTTTCAGCAATGCTTTATATTTTATATTTTTCAGTGTAGAGGTCTTACGCACTTTTGT